ATACAAAACACAAAATCGTTTAACAAGCGATTTCAGTTAAGCCGGGTTAAATCAAATTTGACACAGAATTGTAACGAAGGGTTTTTGGGGCTCTCAGCTCATTAAATTCATTGGAGCAACGCAAGTAACGACGGTAAAGTGTCCTTTCTTAATTTGTTCGTTTTAGTTTACAAAATAAGAAATGAGTAGAAGGGACTTGATTTTGCGAATTGAACTTAAGCAACAAAGTAACTAAACTACAGTATGCACTTAGAGACTAATTTGAATTTAACAGTAAAATGATTTATACAAGGCGGCTTGAGTCCCATTAGATGACTCTTGCCGCTACTAAAGAGGTCTCCTGAAGTCGAAGAGTGACGCCAACGATGTCCATTTTGATTCCTGCCCCTGCTTTCCTTCTGCATCCAATTATTTTCCAGCCAAGCCCGCCGCCGCCTTAAACGTAATGAAGTCTTTTGCTGTGTAAAATTGCTATAAAAACTATTCTCAGCTCTCTCGCTGCCTCCTCCGGTTTCGATTGAAGGGTGGGTCTCTTTGTGCTTTGCACAATTCTCAAGGAAATTGTTATGGCAACTCAGGGTACAATTGGTCCAGAGGCCAAAAAGTTTCACTTGTGCAAAAAAAAAAAAAAAATGGCTGTCTTTTTACAAATTTTTTCACTACAATAATATTGCAATCGTTCTTAAATTATAGAACTTCCAAAACGACGAAATATCAGTTGTATAAATTAACAAAATAAAAATCTTAAGTAAACAACAAAAGTTAATCGGCAGAAGAATATTAGTGATGTACAAATCTTTGTGATAAGCAGTAATCCACTCAAAGCGATAGTTTAAAAACAAAAATAAAGTATAAATGTAATTGTAATAAATAAAATAAAAGCCTTCAATTTATAGTCACCGAGAATTGTTCAAAGAAGTAATCCCATATTTTCAAATCTACTATGAACCGGTCCAAACCGCATTTGGTGATCTAGGAGGACTCGCTTGTGGCCTGATGATGCTGTTCCAGCGGCTGGCGTGGCTGAGGGTCTGATGGAGGAGCATGTGGCGCTGGCAAAGCCATCGGTGGGAGCTTGCTCTCCACCACGGCGACGATGGGCGCTGGATTTACAAGCGGCGGGGGCAACGCCTCGAAACTCATGCATCCTCGCTGCTGCCCGTCGTCCACAATGGGTGGTGTATCGATGGAGTCGATGGTGGATGCACTAGACGAGGTCCTTCCACCGCTCAATCCCTCGGAGACGGCAACTAATGCGGCTGTGGTGTTACGGTTGTGCTGCAGCAGATCGTTAATCTGCGAGAGGCGCGAGGAACTGGCGATCGGTGTGCTCAAACTGATAAATTCATTGCCACTGGCTGGTGAAGGGGAAGATGTCACAGTGGCTGGCGAGGCTGTTGCTGAACCAACTGAATTTCCAACAAGTCGTGACGGCGAGGCGGAGGTGGAGGCAGCGGTCATGGATACAGCGGTGGTCTGGTATGGAGCATTGCTGGAGGCGGTGGTGGTTGCAATTCCATACGGCGGAGCAGAAGGCACCGCACAGGAGCTATATGCGCACGAACTGGGGGCTCCGGGAACGACAGCGACGGCGGGAGACGATGAATGCTGCTGGTAGGCAGCCGTATAGGAAGTGATCTGTGATGGACAGTCGATTAGCTTACTTCATTTCGTTATAGAACCGCCATTATTATTTAATCCTACCAAATAATTGTAACTAACCTGAGTGCTGCCATAGCTGAGCGACTGATATAGTTCTCCGTACGAGGGCGTGGCATTGGAGCCACTAGCAAAGAGCCCGGAGTCCAGGCTATCCAATTGGGCGTATCCTGCGTAGCTCTGGCTCTGCGCTTGCTGCTGCTGGGGGATCACCTGGCCCGTAGTGGGCACTCCTTGCTGCTGCACCTGCTGTTGGTAATAGCTCACGCTGCTCTCGGGCGTGTAAGCCGGAGAAGCGTAGCCGGAGCTGTAGTTTGATTGCGTTTGCAGGAAGTACGCGGATGTTGAGGCAGCCGTTCCCACCGGGGAATAGCCAATGGTCTGTTGGGACTGTTGCTGCTGTTGCGGCTGGAGATGTCCTCCCTGGACGCCTTGAACCGAACCTTGCCGCTGCTCAAGATCCAACCGCATCACCGTGTGGATGTAGTGGGTTCGCACCCTTGTGGGATTAAACTCCACCCGGCCGACTGTGTTGCCACAAGCTTCGCGAGTGCATCCGCAAGGAAACATGGCTCGATCTACTTGACATTTTATACCCGCCTGGCTACAGGCACAAGTCTCCGGATCGCAAAACTCCCTGCAGGAGCAGCCGCACACTTCCCTAGAGTTTCTGATATCGCGGCATTCGCTCTTCTCGCTGGCATCAATTTTGCGCACGCCCGCCGCTTTCAGCAGTGCCCTTCTTTGCTTGGGCGTCACCGGCTGTAGAAAGCCATTGGAACCGTCTTCGGCATCGGAGCCACTACCCTCGCTTAGGTAATCCTCCTCAGACTCCTCGCTGTCGTCGCTGCTGGAACCCCGAGGCTGGAGTTCTTGGTTCTGGCTGCGATGTGCCCGCCTCAACTCTGCTGCATGCTCGGCCAGGGACATTGTCTTAAAGGCTATATGCCTAGCACCCATGCCCAAGGTGCATCCGCCAGCCGTGGGCACACAACTGAAGCCCTGTTGTCGTGGGAAGTAGTACACCTTCACTTCGTCAAAGTTTATGGAGCGCTTAGTCCGCTTCTGGGCAGCAACTGGAGGGGCAGACATGTCGGGCACCAGATCTATAGCATCGCTTTCCGAGTCCTCCAGTCTCCGTTTAAGGTTGGACCTAATGGGCTTGGTATCCAGCTTTTTCTGGATTTCCGGTTCTGCTTCTTTCTCCGCCTGATCCTTGAGTAATGCGGAGGTTTCACTACCTAGACCAGAATCTGATCCACCATCTCTAAGCTCATCTTCCTTTGTTTTAGTGGGCTGGGCAGGCTTCAATGATTCCTGGTTGTTGGACTGCGCCTCCGCTGATCTGGTGGCTATTTGCGTCTCATTGTTTAACTTCAGCCAAAGGAGTTCGCCACTGGTGTCGACTTCCTCGTTTGTGGTGACCGACGCAGAGTCAAGAATGTTGTCAATTGCCAGTGGATCCTCGGACACTGCGTCGGAAGCTATTGAAGAGTTGAGATCCGCATCGCCAAGCACGATAATCTCATTATTAGGATAGTTCTCCAGCTCAAGGAACTGCTCCTCCAGTTCGGTGTCCGCAGGGCCGTGCGCAAAGTCCGCCAGTTCATCATCCAGCTGCTCAAGGGGCATGGGTAAGGAAGCCAAAGCCTTGGCTTTCGCTGCGTGCACCTTGCTGGCGTCAATTATGGATGTCTTGATCTGCCTCTCGATGTCGTACTCATAATCGTCTAAGGGGGGAAATACTTGCAGCTGATGCTGCTGCTGATCCGGATCCCTCTGATTATCCTTGTGATCCTGATTCCGCTGATCCTTCCTGTCGCCTTCGTCGTGGGCATTTAAGCTGGGAGTCCCATCCCTTTGGCCGGAGGCCGTGTTTCCTGATGGGCTAAACATATTGGAGCCGCTCGCATTTTTTTGTATGTACGTCAATATCTTTTTAATAGGACTGAACATGCTATCCGTGTCGAAGTCCCTAGATCTTTGAATTTCCTTTGGTCAACATCTGAAAGAAAGTAGGGAAATCGTTTTACATAATGTGTCGTGGAAATTTCCTTCGCAGGTAGCGATCAGGTGTGTATGTACAGTGTCCATTCAAGAGAGAGAACAGCCGGGAATGCGAAACATTATTTCTGAGTGAATAAATTAAACATTATGAGGTTTCGTAAGAGCCCCTGACCACAAGTCCTACATTCACTCTAGAAATTACCAAAGTGACCTGAAGCCTAATGGGTGTATTGTATATCTAATTCAAATATTTCAAAATATTAATTTATCCTTTTAAAAAACCGAAATCGAAGTTGATGTACAAAATTGATTTTAGTGCTCGTGCGAAATCAATTGTTTTCTGTGTACGTGTAATGGTTTATAAATATATATTTCGCTTGAATGTTTCCTTCACATGTTCACTTTCTCGAGTAAGCACTGTATTCGCATGGGTGTGCGCGTGCAGAATCCTTTGAAATCCTGGATCCCCGAGAATTTCGCACACAATAAAAGAGAACACCCGAAAAGTAGACACACCGCTAACCAAAATCAATATTGATTAGCTGATTTTTGGGGGCCCACCTTTGCGGCTATATTTTCGCTGCCAGGCCAACGGCAGGACTCGCAAGATCGGTGGGAATTATCCTTTTTGGAATTTGCGTTGCAGCTGCGACAAAAAATCTGAGAGCGAGAGAGATGACGAAAGACGCAACTGTGTGCGTGTGTGTGCAACTGTGCGAATGTGTGCGTGAAGGAGGCGAATCAGGACGCGAAACTCGGTATTTTCTATTTAACACAATACCTTCGCTCTACTCCTAGCTGCGGTTTAAATTTAGATTAAATTTTTTAAACTGATTTCGCACTCCCCTAAACTTTTTCTCAATTTTTCACTTCTTCTTTTCTCGCAATGTTATTACTTCTTCTACTCAGTGTGCCCGCTGCTGGGCCATTGCAATATACCTGTCTTACACCAATGCAAATATACTCAAAAATACCATGCGAAAATCGATAAAAGTGTATACGATAGAACGTGAATATGACTCAGTATCAAAGTTGGTATGTGTATTCGCTAAGATATCGTTCAGAAGAAACACAATACCTGTATGCTAAAACTATTTCACCAATGGAGCCGGTTCGTGCAGATTATTAGATTCCATAAACTTATAATAAGATCTTAAATAAGTTAAATATACCCGTTATATAGTTAATTGGTTGACTTATGCAGCAAACTATGTTTTATATATAGGATAAGCCACATGTTTATATTAAATTTATATATATCAATGGTGCGATATGTCGATATCGATATCGATAGAAATATGTATCGTGGTTGGAGTCTCTGCTAATCAACAGAGCTTAGGAAATGTTCGGTATATTCCAATAGTCGTGCTGCGGTCACACATAAAATTCCAAGAAAGTTGTAAGTTAAGTTTACCAATAAACCAGGCAAAAATTTCTTTGGCCATTAGCCAGGCAAGACAGATAAAAAAGAGAAAAATTGTTGAAAAGTCAGTGCTGACGTCGCCTAGGAAGTCAATCGACAAAAACAAGACCTGCGACGCGACTAAATTTTGCGAGAGGCGAGTCAGTCGCTATCTATCTCCCTCTGCGCTCGTTTCGTTTCGTTTATTGGGGCTGTTTTGGGGCACACAATTGAAAAGAAAAAACGTAAATGCAAATAGTTAACTGGTTTCCAAGTGCCGTGTTCAGAGTGCGTAATTCGGTGGACAATCGAGTGATTTTGCGTTGTTGTTTTCGCTGCTACCCCCCGCAATTAATTAAGAAAGTTGTGTAAAAATTTTTTCGCCCCGTCCGCCATAGTGCGAGTGTAAGAGCGAGCGCGATAGGTGGCCCTGAATTTTGGGTGCGTTGCCCATGAGAGCGGGCGCTAGAGCGAGACGTCCGTACGACCTGCTCCAAGTGCAGCGTGCACAGTGGGTCACAGGGTCTGAGATTCTGCTTGAATTTCATTATCGAGTGATAAAGAACTCTGCAGGTGCACTTGAGCATGGAGTAAAGCTGACAAAATCGGATCTTGGTCTCATTATCACCCGATTTATCAGCGCTTTATCCGCCAGAATGGAGCAAAAATCGCGGTTCTTTGTTCAGCCTGTTTTGCGTCTTTAGTTATGAGAGAGTGCGGGTGTGTGTGTATTTATCGGCAATCCGTTCTCTTATCGTACAAGTTTTTTTTTTTAAAAAAAGAACTTCCATTGTCTATGATGTTTCCATAAAGCCCAAATGTAAACAAAATTGCATCCTTCTATTTGTTTATTCTAGACTTCTTCGCTCTCTTTGCAAATAGGAGAATCGCAAATGTCATGCTATACCTATATATTTACCGAGTGATGTGTGGGACTGTAAATATAACGCTAATTGTATTCTCCGTTTTCTAGACGTGCTTCAAATATGCGTGCTGAGAAAATTGCACTTGTTGACTTTTCGAGTGAGGCAATTCCACAGACAAGCACACGTGAATAGGGCCAAACTGATATAATAAGAATATTGATTTCATTATTCGTAATAATTTGTGAGGCTCCACTGACAAAATACGTATTTTAAAGTTGATTGATGAAATTAGATTTCTTCCTTTATTTATAATTAAGTTAAACATCTGTGAAATCTAAAATTAAATTTTTAGCTTTATTCCACTTCTGACACCTATTTCATTGATAATCGCTGTGCCTTCGTGGTGTTGTTCTTGCTCTCATTCTCTCTTTTGATTCACTTGCATTTGTATTAGTACGCGTGAATGACGCATCGTCAGCTGTTCTAAAAGAACCGTAATTTCCTGAACGTTGTTTTATATTTTATTGAATTTTCCGCAGACGGGCGCGAAAGTCAGTTCTATTGTCCAAGTGACTTAAAAGCTCTGAAAACCTTATTAGAGTTCGATTAAATTATACAATTAGCGGTGAGTTATTTACTGACAGCTGTCTCCTTCTCATCAAAAATTCGCATTGTCTTAGTGAAAAACGCTGCTTGTTTTAATTAAATTGAAAGTGCAGTTTTCGTTTTGGCTTAGACGCCACAAAATGGAAAATACGTCAATCGCTGGATAATGACAAGTAATTGTAGGCGAAATTTCTTTATCGCAATTGAGAGAGCGGTTTTTCGAAAAGAGCGAGCAAGTTGTCGCTTTTTGTGTGTGTGATTGTGACTGTGCACTTTGCTCCAAAGTCTTTTGGGTTCGGAAGGGAGACGAGGAAACAAACAATTGTTGACTGACTGCATTTTTAATGGCAAAGAGAGGGCCTGCATATTTCGCTCTCTCCCTCCTTGTTAATTTAATAACGCCGCACAGCAACAACAACAGCTGCGTATATGTTTGTCACGCTTTTACTTTCTCCACCTCTCTCCTTCGTTAATTTATTTTGCATTGATTTTTATCACAGCTTCCGCCCTCACTCTACGAAATCTCTCCGCTCTGCGCTCACGTCTCCACAAAGTAAACAAGTCTCGTGTAGAATTCCATGCCCCGATCTTCGTAGATTTATCTCCACTGTACAGTCTGGCTTCAATGTGTTAATTAATTTCAGTCGGAATTCTGAGAATTCCCATCGACCGTCATAAGAACGAATATTTAAGTATCTGAAACCCGATTTTTGCTTAGTTAATGTATGCAACCAGAAATATTTTAAAACTCAATGAAATTGGGTGTCCTGTTTTACTATTCACTATTGTGAAGATTGCAGGGAAATGTTTTTGTTTTTTTTTTTGTTAGTGATAGTAATGTCTAGAACGATATCTTGTTTCGGGATCAACGTATCTGTGGGATTGTAGTGTAGGGGCCGATGGGGCGTATGATTCATAAATGTGGCACTGATAACACAAATATTGTGAATGCTACACGCATTCCGGCAATGCGAGGCGTCCCTCCTATTATGTACTCTTATATGTATACAAATTCCCTGTAAATAACACGCCCTCGAATATATTTTGTATATTTTTCACCAGGAAGTGTGAGCATTATCAATTGTGTGGTTGCCGCTAAAGGAGCTGCAATAAATGTTAATTACGATAACTTAGATTTCCCACACAAAAGGCCGATAAGAATGTTGTAGTTTCGATTACTTTTAAACCCCTTATCTGCCACAAAGAAAAGGAAAAACAATAATTGCGCCTAAACAGCGTTTATAAGGTTTCCCCTGTGTGTTTGCCAAAGTATTTTTAGTTGTTGATGGGTTTGTATTTGCACATGCAATTAACAATGTTTGTGTTTGTGGATGTTTGAAGCAGTCACGCAAGGATTTTTCTGAACACAACTCGTAACATTGAACATTCTAGCAGGGGACTGACTATTGGTTTCACTGATTTTCTTATCACATGCTTATCAGTACTATTATGTTGCCAAGTGACATGAATAGTAATGCTGTGTTCTCTGATCTGTAAAGCTATTGAAATAAACTTATATTATTTTAACGAACTGTGAGTTTTTGTAGGGCGTACTGCTTTCAATTTCAATCGGATTTATCGGTGACCATTGAGAAACGCTTCTCTTTTCCTCTCATTCATTTGCTGATGGATAACGCCGGCTTTTTGTGCATATGGTCGGAAATGTACATATTGAACTGGGCTTGTCGAGGGCGTCATTAAACAAACAAAGGCGCCACTCAGTCCTCTGATGGTTTGATGTGCGTTTTTCATTCATTCACGTGGCAACACGTTCTCAAGGGACTGAATTTAAGCCCGAAAAACGTACCATTATTGCAGAATAACAAGAAGCACTCAATAATGTTGACTACTGCATTTTTAAACTCTACTATAAATATTCATTTGCATATTTTGTATTTTGCAGATTCCGCATCCACACTCAGCAGCAATCTTTCCGAAAGGCTTACTCAGCAGAAGAGGGAGTGAGTCGCAGTAACCGTCCGTAGAACCAAATATCAGTTGCCATCTCAGAGGAGGAAGAGCGCATCAGCATTCGCATCCGATCCAACCCGAACCAATCATGGCAACCACTCCACGCAGCGGCGGTGCCAGCGGCACTGGAACGGCGCAGCGGCCCAATGGCACCTCGCAGAACAAAAGTTGCCAATTCAAGTTGGTGCTCCTCGGCGAGTCCGCTGTGGGCAAGTCCTCCCTGGTGCTGCGCTTCGTCAAGGGACAGTTCCACGAGTACCAGGAGAGCACGATAGGTGCGGCCTTTCTGACACAGACCATTTGCATAGAGGACACCGTCGTCAAGTTCGAGATCTGGGACACGGCTGGCCAAGAGCGGTAAGTATCGACGGATAACTCTAAACCTAACTAGCTTAATCTGACATACTTATATTTGCTTTTATAGGTACCACAGCTTAGCTCCCATGTATTATCGAGGTGCGCAGGCCGCTATTGTCGTCTATGATATACAGAATCAGGACAGTTTTCAGCGTGCGAAGACCTGGGTCAAGGAACTGCATAAACAAGTGAGTGTCATCGGGGAAACCTTGGATTACTTCCGCCCCAAGCCATCCAGGTCAATGCCATATCGTGCAGAGCGTTTCATTATTGAATGAATGTTTATGCTCTTTATTGTTGCTCATTAAGTGCCTCAGTGGGTGCAATGAACTTGATTTGAGATATTCGTACACGCGATACTTACATTACATTACATAAAATAAATGAATATACCTTTTTTCATAGGCCTCACCAAACATTGTCATTGCGCTGGCCGGCAACAAGGCAGATTTGTCAAACATTCGCGTCGTGGAGTTCGATGAAGCGAAGCAATATGCCGAGGAGAACGGGCTGCTGTTCATGGAAACATCCGCCAAGACGGGCATGAATGTGAACGACATCTTCTTGGCCATCGGTAAGTTATGAAGGGCCGCCAGAAACGCTATGGAATCCTGCTAATCACTACCCCAATTATAGCCAAGAAACTACCTAAGAACGATGGCGCCAACAATCAGGGAACCAGCATAAGGCCGACTGGAACCGAAACAAATCGACCGACGAACAACTGCTGCAAGTGATGTCCCTTCGTAGGTTAGTTTGTCGCGGCGGAAAGGCGTTTCCATTACTAACATAGCTCTTTGGTTTTGCAGAAAATGAAATTTCCAACGAGAGATTTGAAAAGTTTATGCTGATAATTATAAATAAAAAAATTATTTAAAAATTCAACAGAATCAGAAAGAAATACCTAAAGCCGGCTCTCCCAGGGGACACATTTCATTGGAGAGCCATAAAACCAATAATGATAAAGACCACATAAGAATTATAAACATTAAACAAAGGAGTTCCCCTTCCCAACATAAACGAAAGTTGCAATTAAAGAAAGTTAGTTACAAATTCCCACACCCGATTTCCCCCATTACGCTCGATATCTGTCCAAAAAATATACAAACATACTGACACCCCCGCAATTGAGCTAAAATATCAGTATAATTCCAACATAAACCAATTCAAATAACAACGCAAATTAATAAAACATGAAAAGAAAGCGCAGGTTTTTTGGAGATTTCATCGTGTCGTAGAAAGTTTGAAATCGTATTGTATAAAATAGAAAGAAAGAAACCCCGAAACCATCTAAGCGAGCAAAGAATATTTGTAAAGATTACATTTCGTGTAAGTTTCTGAGCATTAAGTGAGGGGAAGATTCCAGTTGCAGTTGTTCTCAGCAGCGTTCCAAATAAAACAAACAAACAAACACCACAAGGAGCAAATGTTCAGGCCAGCGGCTGAAGATCCTCGCTCGCCTCGGTTTGTGGCAATGTGTGTGTCTCTCCGGCTCCGGAGCCCGGACTCCAGATCCGGCTACGGACGCGGATGATTCGACTCCGGGCCGCGGCGGACACGTGTGATAGTTGCAATTTATATAAATTATATATACACATATGAAAATGAAAGAAAAGAAAAACCACAAAAAAAAGAAAACCAATTATGCATACTTTAAAATTTTTTAATTTCGCCTTGCGTTGAACTATTTTCCACATTCTAGCAACAATCGAAGATTTAATGCTACTATCTTTAAACGTAAACGAGAACGGAGAAACTATCGTAATCCATAAAAATTAAACTTACATCTAGTATGCAATTAAGCGGAGGAAGTAAAATGAATTAAAATAAATAAAACAAATCGAACAACACAATACCGTAAACTACTTGTTTAAATCGTTCCACAAACATCTATGATCCGATGCTTATTTCTTTCCAATTCACAATTTTTATGTTGTCTGTATGTATTTAAATTTAACATTTATAAATTATAATAAATGAAAACATCGTATATACTTATATATATATGTGACTCCGTATATATATACAGTCATTCGATTTGAATCGAAAATGAGCTCACAATCGTATTTGTTTATGGGTTCCAAAGATACTATCTCTCGGCTTTATAAAGAAGGTAACTTAACTGAGTGCTAGAGCACTTTTAAAAGAGTCAGCAGACGAAGTATCTCGTTCCATGGATATATTTATATAGATTTAGTTCACTCATTGTGGGAGATTCTCGGCGGCGGAAAGTCCTTGAAGAAAAAGTGTCACAATCACTCCCACGACAGCAATGAAAACAGAAGGCATGTTTAAGTTTATTAACTTTTCTAATTCCCATTTTTTATTTAAAATTATAACTGATTAAGATGTCTCTCGAAATAAATACATACTTAACTTACAGTTTTGGTTACAATTTCCATTTGGTTTCGTATTGTATAAGTGTTGTATATATATTTTTGTTTGTATCTTTCCGCTACTTGGTTTCCCATTTATAAGAATAATTATATTGTATGACTGCATCGATTTTCACATGCGTCTTGATTTCTTGTTAGAGTAGTCGACTTCGATTTGAGTTAGTTCAAGATAAATGATAGAGAGTATACGCTAACTTACTACAAGGCAACTAAATGGCTTCAATCAGGAGTGTTTATGCTATTTAACGTACAGAGATAACAAGGAGTAGAATATCCAACTAGCTAAATTAGGCTTTAAAGTTGAGCAACTTAAAATGGCAGAAGCTTGTTAAGGGCAGTTTTGTATATAGTTTGAGTATAGAAAGTCGGGGAAATAAGGGGAGATTTCGAGTTATAACACAAATACTAACGATTGCATAACAAAAGGTTGGCTCAACGAAAACAATATACATATTGATAAGTTAATTTGCTCTTTGGATCGTTCATCCATAATCGTTATTCCACATGAAATATCACTTACGTAAGAGAAGTTAATATCTGTATCTGGTATCGGTATTTTCTAGATTTAGATCCTAATCTAAAATTTTGTCGTAGTTTTGCTCTTGGTATTGTTTTGATAAACCAGTTAGTTTGTCGTTTGTTTCCACGGTTTAAGTCTAAACATTGTCTTTTTTTCGTTTTTCATTTATTTCTATAAAATTTACAAAATTACGTTCATTTCTCGTCTTATTCGTCTGTCTTTTATCGATAGCTTTGCCCAAAAACTGTGTGTATATATTGATTTCGGGGAAGGGGATTCCCCATTCGCCCACTTTCTATATAAACTCGCTTATCACTTAGCTTACAAGTAGTTCTCTCTATATACCGCGACGTCACTTAGATTCTCAAGAAGTTTGCGAGTCCTGAAAGTCCAGATGATTGATCAAAGTGTTCCATAGATTCGTACTCCGACCTTGCCGTTTCCTTTGATTTCGTTTCCTATACAGTAAGCGGCTCATCGCCGTGCAGATCACAGGATCCAATATTCTCGCCCTGGTACGTCGAGAAGTCGCTGATAATCGCTGTGGGCTCGGCTCCGAACTGGATGTCCTGCAGGCAGCCCTTGAAGGGATCGAAGAAGCGACCCTTTGTGCGCCTGCTCACCGAGTCCGAGTTGGGAAAGCCGCCTGTTTGGGATGCAAAGAATAAAAAATGAGGTTTTGTCAATTTGAACGTGAATTTGAATTTGTGCCAGTGTTGGGCAAGCTTTATACATATGTGGCAGTTAACAGCAGCTTGTTAGCAATCACTTAACTTAAGAATTCGCTCACTTGGTCAAACCTTTATTGCATAATTACAATCAGAACAAAATTAAAAGGTTGAGATTTTATATATTAAGGTGCTGCATAAATACAAAGAGCAGCTGATATGGCCTAATGCCTATCGAGCCAACAGCTGTGCCAAGCAAACGAGTTGGCAGCCCAGCCCAAGTCAGTGTTTATTCGGATCGCGACTCAAAAACAACTGGCGATTGGAATCGAAGTTTGTGACTTACGAAGTTACTCGTGGCTTACGGATACGCATTTACTCCAGCTTTGACCAAAGCGGCTTAGCTTCGCTGCGCCAAATGGTATCAAATGGACCTGGATCGTTTGGCGGTTTCGCTCCGGGTTTTCCCTTCATAAACACAGAACAACCGAACCAACTGAAGTGAACTGAAAGTCTCTATTTGTGCAATTGTTTGTTTAAAGTGCGTGTGAACGTGATACTCTAACAAAACTATTCGGATCAGTGGTACAAATCGAAAACCGGTAAGCGGATCATTCTTATAAGTTTATGTCATAATTAATACGACACTGCAATGGGCTTAAGATCATATATAGATATATCATAGGTAGAATAGTTAAATAGACTCACCCAAGTAGAAGACGTCCTCGTAGCTGATCGTTGGCTCCTTGCTCGAATTCTTGCGCCTGCCCGCCAGAGTGGTTCTCGGTGTAGTTGAGCCCAGGGACCGTCCAGCCTCGGGCAATCTCTCGGTGAAGATCACCTCGCCGTCCAGCTGCAGCTCCAGCCTGGTTCGGTCCAGCAGCACACTGGTCCAGTGCCAGGCGCCGTCGGCGATGAAGCCGCTGGCCGGAGCACGGACCGTGTCGTTGGTGCTGCCCAGGAGATTGCTGGCCAGCTTGAGGTGGCCCGCCTCCAGGCCCAGGCCGAGGAACTTGCTCCTCTCGTGCTCGCTCCACAGGAGCAGTCCGTCCGGCTCGATGGTGGAGAAGTTCAGCGAGACTTGGATGGCTTCGCGTGGGCGGACGTACAGGGAGGGTCCCCGCCGCTTGTCTTTCATTGGAATTCGCGGCGGCGGCAAGATCAGGTAACTGTTGCCACGGAAGCTCGGCGTCGTCGGCTTGCTCATGGCTAGAAAAGTCGGAAAAAAATCGTAAGACATACATAATATTGCCGCGTTGCAGGGAGAGGGGAAGGGGTAGTCGAGTGGCGTTGCATTAAACATGTTGCATGCGGCACATAATTAAATTACAGCATCAGCTTGCCGCTGCAGCTGCATTGTTCCTCTTCGTCTTCGTCTTTTGTTTCACTTTATGAATCTGAATCTGTATCTTCATCTGCAGACCCTGATCTCGTTTATAAGCCCACCATCACCTGGCACTTAGGCTTGCTTAATCTGTTTTCTAATTTACTATCCTGTACTGTACCTGTTTTTTTGAAAAGAAAAGCTTGGTCCAACACCAGTTACTGATAACGAGGTGGGTATTTAATAACTAACAGAATGAACAAAGGAATACTATTTATGTTCAAGTTCAACTTGATCTTTTGTTGCCTTTTACTGAGTGCACAGTGTACACTTTAGTACTTCAAGTTGCCTTTTCCCATTCGTCAGCGTTGTCTTCAACTTCACTCACTTTCCAGTTTTTTCTGTCTTTGAATCGTCATGTTCAGGTTCTAGAACTTGAAGCAAAGATTAATCTTTATTATCGTGTGGTTATTAATTTTCTTTACACTTTTCCACACTGCTTTACCGCCTCTTGTCATTTTGTCTATCACCTGTTCGCTTTCCCTAAGTTCTTGATTTTCGTTGATATATGTAGCTTCCAAGCTTTTCCTCATATTTATATTATATTTTCTTTTCAATTTCCCTTCACCGACTTGCATTTCTTCAATCTCGACTTAAACTTGCTTGTGTGGCATGTTAATTCACAATTTGCTAATAAGTGAAAGGCAGACAGCTGGATCTCCACATAAAACATCCGATGGATAAAGAAATAGCAAAAACGCATCTGCCGATTTCATATAATCAAAAGCTTGTTTCGCAGATGGTTGATTAATGTTTCGCTTGGTGTCATTATAATTTTGAATAATGGTGCACCGCGAGGGGATATTAAAAGTTTAAAATTACTGATTGGATAATGGAAAATTACGCTGAGAGTTTCTATCACTAGAATGACAAATTGAAGTAAAGTGGAAGGGAATGTCATATAAAACTATGCAAAATGCTGCACTTTTAGGAAGCATTTTCTGTCTAAGCTAATAAGTTAAATATGTATATAAACTTTATTTTGGCTCATTATGCATATTTAATTCCGACAACGAGAGCGTTCAACTTTGAATCATGGCATGGAATCATCAGGTTTAATTATTCCCCAACTCTATCCCCATTCTGATTATAGTGCTCTTCACTGGCTTCGTTGTGAATCACAGATCGCTAATTTTTGTGTTACTTTTTTGGCCAACCAACTTCCTGACCCCGCTGTGCACTGAACCATCCAGAATCCAAATGCCGCTGTTAATGGTTATTTTCTGCTGCCGTCAATCTCTAATTATAATAATAATGTTGTTCTACTCTGGGCCGCGAAACTTGTTTGCCCCACAACTCCGCAAAACACAGCTCACAAAAAGAGATCAAAAAACAGAAAATAATAATAAAATCATTTAAGCTTCTGTAGGAATTGCGAAAACCAACTTTTACTCGTGACACATTTTTTTTTTAGAATTGAACTTGAAGCCGTGCGACGATTTATGAAACTTGTTTTTCTCCGCATTAATAAGATGTATTGCTATAATAGCCTTTTCAAAAACTGACTGAATCATAAGCCACGCTTATGGTTATTGAACTCTTGGTTACTTCGTTGTCCACTTCGGCAACTCACCAATCTCACAGTAGAAGCCACCCCATCCATTTGGACACGAGCAGCGTCCACTTCTCAGGCATCTGCCATTGTTCTTGCACGGAATGAGCTTGCAGGTCTCCGAGTACTCGCAGCGATCTCCTTTCGCATATTCCGGGCAGATGCAGTGCGGCTGCAGCTTCTCGTCCAGCCAACAATGTCCTCCGGACTCGCAGGAGTCTCCGCCACAGGCGGTGCCATCACAGTCTCGAATGTTGCGCGATTCTAAAGGATAGTTGAACCAATAGATACTTGTTTAGTTTCAACAATCCAAATGACATAATTTTGGGTTTCAAGTAATGTAGGAAGGTGTCGTCTACAAGTAGGTTCTTATCATAAACTGTACTCACCCACAATGTTGGTTTCGTTGAGCACAATGCGAGTTCCACTGACCACCAAACCACGGACACAGCCCCTGAAGGGAATCGGGAATCCGGAGATGGCGTTGTGCGGCAGCTTGGACACATCCTTCAGCCCGCCAATGTAGAGCAGTGAGTCGGGCTCGACGAGCACCTCTGCCGAAGGAGCCAAGGCCGATGAGGCGCTGCCCTCCACCCACAGGGTCAGCCATCTGCCCCGCTGCGCCATCTTGATCTTGTGCCACTCGCCGATGGCCAGCATGCGAACGCTCCGCACCACAGTGACATGATTACTAGGCCCGGAAATCCGGAACTCCACCACTCCGCCCTGCAGCGATAGCGACACAAAACCTATCTTCTTGTCCTGGTTGTTGTTCAGGGTTCCGAAGTACAGCAGCAGGCCTCTCTCCGAGAGCGGGCGCAGTTGGAATTCGATGAAGAAGAACTGCACGCGATGGTGCTCCTCGAAGGACTTCGAACCCATCAGCGGAACTGGCGAGAAACTGCGCTGCTTCTCCACCTCATTCAGCAGTTTCATCACAAAGTGGGTGCTGGGAGTGGTCACGGGCTTCGGGGGCATCAGCTTCTTGGTGAAGTTCCGGTAGCTGACCATTTGGGAGCGCTTGGCGCCCAGCTTGTCGCCGCCATCATATAGATATGGCCAGCGAACCGCCAGATATGATCGTCTGCCAGTCAGGGATACGTCGCTCAGGGATCGAATTACTACGGATTAAAGGGCAGTGTTAGTATTAAATAGCTGAGAGTGCCAATCCTTTACAAAGCCAATTGCATGGTAATTAACTTTCAAAGGAAACCCACCTTCCTCGCAGTTTTTGCCTGTGCGTCCCACGGGACAATCGCATTCGTAGCCATTGACCAGCGGCACACAAGTGGCGTCCTCGTAGCATTTGTTGTTGAAGGAGTCGCAGGGATTCGTGGGCTGGGCACACAGTGGGCCATACCAGCCCTCCTGGCAGATGCAACTGATGTGAACAAGGATAAATTACGAACATATAATGAGGATTATAATGGAAGAGATCAAGAGAGGCGCTCACGTAAAGGTTGCTCCATGCTGCAGGCAGGCGCCATCGTGCTGGCAGGCGTGTCGATGGCATTCCCTGGTTCCACATTGGCCCACGCCGCGCCCTCTGACCCCACGCGTCTCCTGGAGGGGAACCGTGACCTGTCCCGCCTTCAACTGCACATCGTATATGCATCCCTGGAATCCCGAGTGCAGCGGCAAATCGTGCGGCAGCGTATTGAAATTGGCTATCTCGTGGCCGCCCAGATACAGAATAGGCAGCACATCCATCCGGCTGCCACTTCCGGGCGATCGACCCGTAATATTGAACTTTCCATCCACCGAGAGCCAGGCCTGTCGCCCAATCCGGCCCACCTTAATCTCGTAGGGCACTCGGGGTGCATCCAGCCGGAAATCAATGGGTTTCTGGGTGAAAATGCGACGTGGTCCCGCTCCCAGATTCCAGGTGAGCATTATGTAGCCCTGGATGAAGCTCACCGCCAGGTGATCGCTCTTCTCGTCGTGATAGCCCGACTGCCCAAAGAAGGCCAGCAGCGAAATCTGCGACATGGTCTGCGGCAGGATCTTGAAGCTCAGCTCGAGCGAATACTCCAGGGGAATCGGCACCGTGTAGGCCACAAACGAGGACAGTCCATTCACGCTGCCGGAGAAGGAAGGCAGGGCCACCTCAAGATCTGAAAAATAAATATTATGAAAATATTAACTAAATGAAAAGTATACTTCAGACTGCTCATGGCAGAATTGCCAGATTGAGAGTAATTTCCTAGGTCTTCTGAATGGAGGGAGTACTCACTGTGCTCGCAATAGTGGCCGTGCTTGCCCAGCGGACACAGGCAGAGGTAACCGCTGCCCGGAAATTGTACGCAGGTGCCACCGTACTGGCACGGGTTGTCCTCGCACACGGATATCTCGCAGGTGGGTCCCATGTAGCCGGTGGGGCACTTGCACTTCCACTTCTCCGCCTTCTCGCCATTCTCGTCCAGATCGTTGGTCTCGATCTTTATGCAGGCGGCGCCATTGCGGCAAGGACTCGATAGACAGGCCAATGAGCCGCATTCCGTGATGCCAAAGCCATCTAGGGCATCGCTACACCAGAAAATGTTCAGGCAAATAGGTTAGGAATTTGATTTTAGTATGAAAAGGCTAAAAGTATCAAGCATAGTTTAACACTCTCTGAACTGATTTTAAAAATTGCATAAATATTAAATGATCATTGTAAATATTGA